GCAAAATTTACTTCTAGTCAAGGTTTATTTAAGAACATTTGGGTTTTTTATTTATTATTTTTATGTGTATGGGTGTATTGCTTCACATGTATATAAGTGCATCCATGTCATACAATGCCCACAGAGGTCCCCTAGAACTGGAGTTACAGATGGTTGTTAGCCACCATGTGGGTACTAGGATTTAAACACAGGTCTTCTGCAAGAGCAGCCAGTGCTCTTACTCATTGAACTATCTCTTCAGCCCCATGGATGTTTGGGTTTTTTTTTTGTCTCAAGCTGTATCTACATATTAAACAATATAAATACCAGACTAAACTAGGAAACCTTCATAGGTGTTTAATAGCAATACTTGGTGGCCTATATTAATATAGTCTTAAAGTGACAATTTTTTCCTTCTGCCCTTCAAGATCAAATAGGTACCAAGGAACTTTGGGCCAGGGAACAGGAATTTTCAGAAGTCCCATAACTGTGATGAGTTATCTGTCCTCTTGTTCAGGGATGCTATGGAGACCTTACAAAATGGACTCAAACCAGTGTCCAGTCTATAAGAGGTGGGTCAACTCAGAAGAAAAGCTTCCTGGATGTTTCTGAGTGAAGCCTGGGTGAGTAAGTCCTTTTGCTTATACTCACATAGATGTTACAACTGGTAAAAGGAAGACTAAAGGAGCCAGAGGCTCCTCCCAAGCCAAGTGACCCTGAGGATCAGATCCTCAGCAGACATTGAGAATAAAGAATTGGTTAATTTGGCCAACTGTATGGTCTTAAACACTCAATAGGCAAATATAAAGAAAGATTTAAGTGATCAATATGTTTCTTTCAGAGTCCAAATGATTGTACTTCCTGAACACTGGGCTTAATTTCATATGCTATTTAGACAACTCTAAATAATTATTTTCTTCTTGATAAGAAAAATTCTGCTCAGAGACTTTAAACCTTGACCTGATTCAACATTGCACTGCCTGCCTACATTTAAGAGAGACAGGTCCACCATTGTTTTAACCTAAAATTAAATGATGGCTGAATTTCTCTCCCTGTCTAGACCCAATAAAGGAGGTAACTCAAGCTATGATTCTACCCATTCCAACAGCTACCAAAGTGCCTGAAATCAAATTTTGAATTCACCACTCTTGAGTCCAGCTTTGGAGCCAAAAGAAAAAATGAGGAGTCCAGTGGGTGGATGCTCCTATGAGTCCATCAAGAAATTCTCCTGGTTCCCTAGAACTCGCAATGTTAATACCTCTTGCCTTTTCTCCTCCCTCACATCTCTTTCTAATACCAGTTAAGGATTTCTTTCCCTGCCTTAATCCTGAAGTTATACAAATAAAGCCATCATGGACTTTTGGAGCCTTTAGATAGGCTTAGTGGAGGGGTACCTTGACTGCCCCAATTTATGACCCTATTCAGCCCTGTCAAAAAAGTGTCTTGGGAGAATAGGTTAAGATTAGACATGATTTTTCCTGATAAAGATGGGGTTTATGTAATTCTGGGAGGACAAGATTGTACATCATCCCCAATAGCAAACTTCTAAGTGTAATTATTACTAGAGTTCTCCCAGGCCTTAAGGCACTTTATAAAAAACTAAAAATTTGGGTACTCTCTGACTTCCTGGAAGAATTTTAA